GGGGGCTGGGAGGTGCTCTCCGGCGAAAAGCCATAGTAGATGGTCTGAGGGACAGTGTGCTAGCCTTCTCAGAGAATGTTCCTGGGACAACATCTAAGGATGTCATGGACATGGTTTTGGTAACCCAATACTTTGACACGTTGAAGGAGATTGGTGCGTCCTCAAAATCCAATTCTGTTTTTGTTCCACATGGACCAGGTGCTGTAAGAGATATTGCTTCACAATTTAGAGATGGCCTTCTTCAAGGAAATATGGCTCAGTCTTGAAGTCGCACATATCACATTACTAGAACTATAGGAATCTATCTTCTAAACTTCATCGATTTACGTTTTTTTTTTGTATGACTATTAAGTTTGAACTAATTCGGTATGTTAATATGCCTTTCCATATCCACTGTCTTTCTTCTACCCATGTTTTCTTGAGTTGTGAACAGTCCAACATTCTACTGTTCTTTTTTCCTTTGAAATAAAAACAATGGTGTTGGAATTTGCTTCATTTATGGCTTGTGCGTTTGTTTGCGTAGATGCTAATCATATAAGCTGGTCCTTGACCTTGTCCTACTATCAGAATTAGTGATAAAATTAAGCCTCGCCGGTGGACGGTCCACTAAGAACAGAAGAGAAGTTTACACCATGAGTGACTAAGATTATTTTGACCAGAACAATGGAAGGGAGAAATTTTTATAAACTTTTATTGTTTAATTCAATTTTTTGGAGGGGAAGGGGAATGGAGGAGAGAAAAATCGCTCCTAATTTAACTTTAGTTTCCTTCCAATATTTGGAAGATTTGGAAGGAAGAAGAAATTTTTTTAACATTTGTGGTGTAATGTCTAAAATATCATTATTTATGTTTTAAAATTTAAAATTCTAATAATATAAAGGTAAATTTATTTTTTAAATCCCTCCCCTCTTCTTTTCTTGTGAATCAAATAAGAAAAGAGTTATTTCACTTTTCTTTCTTTCAATCAAACAAAATTTTTAACTCCTTTTCTGCCTGTGGTTCCCTCTATTAAAATTTCTCATCTCCTATAAACCAAACAAACCCTTAGTGATTCAATTTGGGATGTTTGGTTAATATTTGAGATTCTCGATTAAGCAAACAAAAAGATCGTTCCAACAAGGCTTACATGTTAAAATCTTATCTAATTAATGCTTGAGATTGTTAATATATAATTATAATAAAGAGAATACACATTTTTTTGTGCACACAATCTATATTTCATTTTACCCCTTAACTACTCATAAATTGAAGATGTTCCTTTGGATGGTTCTTCGGGATGGGTTGAAGACAAATGTGAGAAGGGCCTACAGTGGTATCTTGGACAGTAGTTTCTACTCTGTTTGTAGAAGCTAGTCATAATTAGATAGTCACATTCTAAGGGATTGTGTGATGGGCTGTCCTATTTGGTTAACTATTGGAGATGAATCTGACAGGAATCTGGGAGAATTTCTTCAGTAAATATGTTTAAGACTGTATTATATAATGAACATTTGCACCAGATTTAATATTTGGAATTTTATGCTTGGTATTACTTTGTGGTCCATTTGACAGGCTAGAAATGCCTTAATTTTTCTCAAATCATGCTTGGAGTTGTGACGAGATTATTAGAAAAGCCAAGTTCTTGGTTAGAAGTTTCGCAGAGTTGCTAAATATGTATAAAATGTCTTCAAGCTGGTTGTAGGGGAGTCCTTTGAGATGTGCATGGTCGTTAGGTGCATGGTTTCTGTATGTAGTGTGTGAAGCAAATAGAATAGCTGATTGTGTGGCGAGGATTTGTCATTGTATGAGTGATGTTATCTCCTTTTTGCTCCGATCCCTTTAGAGAATGCTTGGTACTGGTAGGATGTTGTCGTAATGATTGTTTTCTGCCTCGACGGTCTTATTTAGCAGAAAAAAAAGGTTGAAATTAGTTCTACTTATTTATAGCAATTTATTTATTATTTTACAATTTAAAAATAGATTTATTAATATATTAAAATAATATTTATTTACAGTAATAACTTTTTTAAAATTTCATTTAGTTATTTCTTTATTAAAATAATATTTTTAATATTTATTCACTGTAATATTTTTTAATTTACATTTTTAAATAAAATTTAATTTATTAAAATAACATTTTTACCATACATGAGTACCGTAGTCACTATGGTGCACTGTAAACTACATTACATGTGTGTGGATTGTAATAACAAACGCCTTTGTTTGATCTTAAGTCTAAATGTGAAATTATTAAAGAGTCCAACTGAATTGATTGAATGTTCTAAAAAAATTTTGTACCAAAATTTGATTCTTATTGATCAAAAACATATCACGTCAAAAAATGTTTTTAAAAGAAATATTACCTGCACACTTTCATTTCCTCATCCACACCTACAAAGAAGCCAAACCAACAGAATGCCACCAAATGCGCTGACCAAACCTAGCTATTCTTAATTCAGCCCCCCGTTTTATTTTTCAAATACGTTGGGAGTTCCTCTTACAGTCATCCTCCTTTGATTTTATACTACTACTTCGATCGCTTTCTGCCCCCATTTAATATTAAAAAAATTTACATCTTAAAAACCTAAGACTTGCTAGTTGTTGAGGATTTAACATTGTAAGTAAATCGCTTACTCATTTGTGACCCTTTTTGTAAAAACCTCCCTTTACACGTTAACACATTAAAGAGACTGGATATTCTTCTTTTTTAGTTAAAAAAACTGGATATTCATTATTTGAACATAAGAAACTAAATATTAACCAAATAAAAGGAACCAAACATACACACCCCAAAACAAGTCATATTGCATAGCAAACACCTTCCATGCTCAAAAAACTTACTAAAAGGTGCACCTAAAATCAATGACATTCGGGTGGATTGTTGAGTAAGTACAGATTTATAATTGTTTGCGCTTATTGATTTTACACTCGAGCCCACCAAGAGATGAAGAAATAAATGTAGCATCAAAATGAAGGACAAAGGTTCTTTGGGAAAGTGAAACCCTACAACTAAACTTATTAACTCCACCACATGAGGTGTGGCCTATATCACTCACAATGCCACCCGGCCTAAGGTTTCAAGGCCACAGCAAGACCAACCTTTGCACTCTTT